CTACAGCTAGCTACAGCTAGCTACAGCTAGCTACAGCTAGCTACAGCTAGCTACAGCTAGCTACAGCTAACTATAGCTAGCTACCGATACACACAGCTAGCTAAGCCCGCCCACACACAACTACAGCTATACGCCTGCGGCTACAGCTAGCTACAGCTAGCCACAGCTAGCTACGCCGAGACACAGCTAGCTACAGCTAGCTGCAGCTCGCCACAGCTAGCTACAGCTAGCCGCAGCTAGCTGCAGGCAGCTGTGCTGCTGCTGCAGCACGAGAGTGTGTCTCCTGTGTCTTCATCAGCAGCAACAAATGGCTGGGTAGGGAAAAAGAAATTGTTGTGCTCGTTGGCTGTTTATTACTTTTTATTTTTTTTTATTTTATTCTTTTTTATTTATTCTTTTTTCTTCTTTTTTATTTTATTCTTTATTTTATTTTTTTTCGTTCTATTCTGTTTATTTTGTTGTTTTTTATGTTATCCCTTTTTTTTATTGTATTCTTCCTTTTGTTTTTTTTTATTGTCTCTTATTTTATTTACTTTATTCTTTTTTATTTTATTTTTATTTTTTATATATTTTATGTTTATTTATTTTTCCTTTATTTTATTATTTATTTTCTTATTATTTTATATTTATTTATTTTATTATTGTTATATTTTTATTTATTTTATTTTTATTTATTTTATTTTTATTTATTTTATTATAAACAAATGCAGTAGGGGGTGTGTATACAGTCTCCTTTTGTTTTTTCTTTTGTCTCCTTTTCTTTCTCTCTTTCTTTCTTTTTCTCTTTCTGTCTTTTTTTCTTTATTTATTTACTTCTTTCTCTATTTATTTATTTATTTATTTAATTTATTTATTTATTTATTTATTTTTCTCTTTTTGTTTGTCTTCCTTTCTGTGTGTCTCTATTTTTCTCTCTTTCTGTCTCCTTTTGTTTTTCTTCTGTCTCTCTTTTTTTCTCTTTCTCTTTATTTCTTTCTCTCTTTCTCTTTTTCTTTCTTTATTTTTGTTTGTTGCCTGGTTTTTTTTGTTTTTTTTTTGTTTCTCTCTTTCTCTCTTCTTGTCTCTTTCTCGTTTTTTTTTGTTTCTGCTTTATTTCTCTGTTTCTTAAATATGGCAAGAAAATTAGGGTTTAGGGTTTAGGGTTTAGAGCTAGGGTTTAGGGTTTAGGGTTTAGAGCTAGGGTTTAGGGTTTAGGGTTTAGGTGTTGATACAAACTGCAGCAAATGATACTATCGCCACAAACAAACAAAAAAATAAAATAAACAAAAAAATAAAATAAAAAAATAAAATAAAACAAAAAAGTAAAATAAAAAATTAAATAAAACAAAGAAATAAAATAAAACAAAATAAAATAAAATAAAAATAAAATAAAATAAAAGACAAGATAAACACACACAAAAAAAAAACAAAACAAACAAAAGAAACAAAGAGAGACAGAGACAGAGAGAGACAAAAAATAAAGAAAAACGCAGCCAGACAAAGAGAGACAAATAAAAATAAATAAAAAATAAAAAAAAAAACAAATAAATAAAACAGAGAGAGAGAAAGGAAAAAGAAAAACAATAAACAAAGAGACAAACAAAAAGAGACAGAAAGAAACAAAACAAAAACAAAAGAAAACAAAAACAGAAGAAAAGAAAAAAAATAAATAAAAAACAAAAAGGAGAGACAAAGACAAAGACAAGCAAAGACACAAATTATTCGTGCTGCAGCAACTGCTGCAGCAGCTGCTGCAGCAGCGAGGGCAGCAGCAGCAGCTGCTGCTGCTCCTGTTGCTGCTTCTTCTGCTACTGCTAGTGCTACTGCTGCTGCTGCTGCTGCTGCTGCTGCTGTTGCTACTTGTGCTGCTCCTTCTGCTACTGCAGCAGCAGCAGCAGGGGCAGCAGCAGCAGCAGCAGCAGCAGCTGCTGCTGCTGCTGCTGTTGCTGCTGCTGCCACTGCGTAAAGGAGTGGTGAGGGAGCTGTTAGCTGCAGCAGGAGAAGGAAGACAGTATGCAGGGAGACACACCTAGGGTTAGGGTTTAGGGTTTAGGGTTTAGGGTTTAGGGCGTGCCGTTGGTGTGCGTCCTGCTGCAGCAGCTGTTTTCTTTTTTATCGTTTCTTTGTTCTCTTTATGTTGCTGCTGC